ACGGCTGATTTTTTGTTCGCATAGTCTAAACAGATTAAATCAAATTAAAACGGAACATACAATTTAATGCATGTCTGTTTGAACTGCATTTGAAATAGTGGACCAATATAAAACTTGGACAAAAATAAATCCATACCTGGGTATAGAATTGTATAGAATATCGTTCAACTATCTGTCTCGCAACAAAGTTGTTTGCGTAAGACGGGTTTGTCTAAAGGATGCGATAATAGTTCAGGAAATGAAGCTCGAAAAAAGTTAAAAACTCGCAATTTTTTCGTCCTGCATGTATCCAGTTAAAATTTTAGCAGAAGGTAGGTAATAGCCCAAGGATCAAAACCTATATCGAACCGAAGTGCGCTGAAGGGTCTTAGGGGTGAAAACTACCCCTAATTGTCAAAAATTATAAAATAACATATTAAACCTGAATATGGGTAAGATTTGGTTTAAATTAGTTAAATAATGATTATTTTATACTTTTGAATAGAGTTCCATCATATTTCAACCCTTAAAAAGCAACCCTTGTTAGAGATTAATGTATAAAATTACTAATTCTAAAAAAATGATTTCTCCTTGGATCGATTTGGATAAAAATTTGGATTTAAGCTCAATTCACCCGCTGCTTTATAGTTTATGTCATGTCGACGAACCCTGATTGTTCTTAGGGGTGAAAACTACCCCTAATTGTCAAAAATTATAAAATAACATATTAAACCATCATCTTTTGAATAAAGTTCCATCATATTTCAACCCTTAAAAAGCGACCCTTATTAGAGATTAATATAAAAAAATTAGTAATGCGAAGAAAATGATTTCACCTTGGAACGATTTGCATAAAAAATTGGAATTAAGCTCAACTCACCCTCTGCTTTATAGTTTATGTCTTGCCGATGAACCCTGCTTATTCTTAGGGGTGAAAACTACCCCTAATTTTCAAAAATTGTAAAATAATATTACAAATTTTAAGATGAGTGAAATTTGGTTTGGTTTAGTTAAATAGTGAGTTTTTTATACTTTAAAATACAAATTCATACATTTTCAACCCTTAAAAATCAATTGTTATGAGTGCTATAGGTAAAAACAATTTTTTGCCAAAATTTTGCAACTTTTCAAGTTTTGAAAATCACCCTTTACAACATTGCAGTTTTTATAAACTAATTTATAAGATATAAATTGAAAAAAGTAGAATTAAATACAAAAAAAATTATCAACATAAAAAGGTACCATATATTCTTATACATTTACATAAATAGTTGAAAATATTTACATTTATAGGTAAAACAATTATAATATTAATTTTATTCGTCATCAATTACATCTTCATCGTGATCTATGTCATCCTCATCTTCTTCAATTATTGGTGGACTGTTATTGCACCCTTCACCTGAGCACCCAGAACAAGTAGAGTTACAGTATAAACTAACTTTTCTGCACCCATATGAAACGCCGCATCCTTTTTTGCATTGGCAAAAAATAATTTTCAAAAATTTATCGGGTGCAGGTTGTTTGTCCATGCGTACGGGTAATAACAAACCATCTTTGGAATACCATCCCCAATCTGTTGCTCTGATATTTTAATTGCCAAGCCATAGACATACGAGCAGATGTTTTATTCTGTTGTATGGGATTTCAAAATAAGAACGCTTAAAATTTCGAATGTATAACGACCTACTAGCTAATATACCGGTTTTGTAGATTATTATGCTCCGAAATGTACTGTACGATACTAATGGAATTTTCCGGAAAAAAATTAACTGGTTTTTTTAACGTATTTCCTTTAATTTTTAACGATAGAGTGTTTCTTTAAAAACGATTTGTAGAGGTTTTTAATAGCTACAAGGATCTGTGAATTAAATCTTTTTGGAACCCTTGGTTTTTACATGGGGTGAGTTCAAAGGGCTCGAAAAAGATGGTGCTTGATCGTAAATCGATGCTTTAAACGGCTATATCTCGCCAAATATTCATTGTACAACAAATCTAAATAAAGGATAATTTTAGTCATTAAAAAAGCTACAATTTGGTAATTTTTATTTTTTTCATATATTCAGTATTTTCGGGCATATTTAAAAAAAGAAGGGTAAAAAATATGAAATTGTAAATCGTTTCTCGCTTTAAGCTTTACTTTTTCTAAAACTAAGCATTTTAAATGGGTCAAACTTCTTGGACATATTAACAATACATCTATAAAGGGAATTACAGAAGGGTGAAGATCGATTTTAATTATGGGGGTGGTTAGGTTGTTGTTTTCCTTGATTTTTTCGTAAAAAATGAGGTATTGACCTTATTTTTTTATGATAGGTCTATTTATGCTCTTTAAAAAAGGTTTTGTGAGTTTTCTTCCAAAAATGCATCATTTTCCCGATATTTGACTTTGAATCTTTCAAATTTGGTATTTGAAGAAAACCGCTGAACATTGATATTGTATTTGTAATTGTATTTTTCTTTTTAAAAGCTACAAATTTGTTCTCTACAATTTTTTTGATAAAATGCACCATTTTCGAGTTATTCGCGAAAAATCGATTAAAAACGTGGATTTTTTCGTCTAAAAGTTGTTACTTTCAATCGCGAATAACTTGAAAAATATCATTTTATAAAAAAATGTATAGCACATTTTTTGTTTAGAATCACTTTTCTAATCGAAACCTAACCCCCTCTGTGGCTCAGTGGTAAGAGCGCCTGCCTTTAAACCTAAAGGTCGTGAGTTCGAATCCCACCTGGGTGGAAATTTTCGTTTATTAAAAAAAATTAATAAATGAAAATAATTTCTATCCTTGTGGGATCGGTACACACCGGAGGGACCGCAGACGTTCGGATACAATTAGCGTCTCTTATCAAAGACAATGACGTCGACTTTGCTAAGTATCAAGACAATTACTCTACACACACACACACACACACACACACACACACACACACACACACACACTACACCTCAAATTGTAAGATTGGCGAATGGATTTAGTGTCCGCAGTCATTTAAACACAAACAAACAACAACAACTAATCGAAACCTGTAGTTAAAACGTAAAAAAAAATTTCACCCCGGAGATGGGGTGGCAACCACCCCCTAGGCTTTGGCGCACTTTGGTTCGATATAGATTTTGATCCTTAGGCTATTACCTACCTTGTGTTAAATTTCAAGTCAATCCACGCCGCACGAAAAAATTGCGAGGTGAAATGCTACATTTCCTGGACTATAATTTTTTTTATGAGTTCAGAATCCAGCAGCCCGCTGAAGTTTGGGATTTTTTATAATATAATTATTTGACAATCTTTTGTTGGCCAACCACCTACAGCAGAATTGAGCCGAAATACATTATATTCCTATGTTCCGAATTTATTTCGTTCAATCTGTATATTCTTTGATGTATGATTTTTAGAAATTTAAAATGTGGCTCATTAGGCTGATGTTACGAAAATTATTGGGATTTTGTTTTCTTTGGTAGAGCAATAAACGTTGATTTCAGCCATGATCTTGCTAGTACTCCGTTTAAATAAATATACGTAATTGAATATTGGTATGAAATAGCTTTATGAATTCAGCTTATGCATTGTCAGGTTTAGGAGCTTTGTTATCTTTTAATTGTAATATTGCTTTGTCCACTTCATCTGATGTGATTGGTAAGTGGTCGTTACATATGTATGACGGAGGTTGTTTGGACCTATTATCATCAAAGAGTTCTTATATCTAATTGGAGGTTGCGTATTGTTATCCTTTTCTCTTGATCTATATATTTTGTAGCTCTAACTCTTCGACTATTGTTAATATTTCATTTCTGTTCGTAGTTTCTTCTTTAGCTCTTCAGTGTTAATTTCTATTTTTCCTTTTAGGCTCCTTTCCTAAACCTCCATGTCCTTATTTTGTTCTATTGCTGGTTTAGTTTTTTCTACGTTGTATTTTCTTATGTTGTTTCTTATTACCTTTGAGATCGTCTTAATTATTTTATTTTGCGCTTTTTTCCTTATACTATTATCTGCTTTCATCTGTTGCCTTTGGTCTTTTTAGGGGTTTTCATCCTTTTTGTTTGTTGGACAATATTTAGTTTGAGCCTATTGCATTGTATTGACTATTTGTTTGTTCAATATATTGATGTCTGTTGTTGTTAAGTCTTTCAATGAGTTATCAATATATTTTTCAAATACCTGAATATTAGTTAGTTTTGTCCATTTCTTTGGAAAACCGTCATATCCTGGACTAATTAGAAAACATATTTCGTCGATTTTTATTTTAAATTCACAATTTTTTATTCTACCCTGGTATAAAGAGTTGGTTTAAAGATAACATGGAACATATCGATGTTTTACGATTTGATATACAAAAAATGTATTTCATATATCAATCCTTTCAAGCATTGTGTCCAATGAACCCAAAGGTTATTTACGAAATGAATTTTTCCCAGTTTTTTCTATCGGCATAGCTGCTCCTTCATCAAGTAAAAAAATGATATCGATTTTGTATTCCATAGTTACCTATTTTGAGAGCAGAGGGAATGTTCACAAAAGAATTGAGCCTGCATTTGCGATATGAGTGAACCCATTTGTTTCAGCTCACTGAAGCCCCACTCAATAATGGCAAATTAAATCATGGACGTTTTATTGTTGCCGTATCTTTTCTCTGCACCGAATATTTCAATTTTTCTAAATTAATTTTCTCTCGTTACGAGAACAAAAATGTGAATGAGAACAAAATAAGGTTCAAAAATTAGATCCTACGTTGCCATTAGGATTATTAAAGAGGATAGAGGTGTCAAAAATAATTTAATTTGTGCCAGTAAGTGTATCAAATTCAAATTTAAATTCGATGTTTACTTTACAGGTATTGAAAATAAAATTATAAAAGTATTAACACATTTTTATGGTAAACAGCAAATTGGATTTTAATGCCTTTCAAGAAGTACAGTTTTCACTTTCGACTCTTACATGGGTTTTGAACCAATTATGAAATACTTAGATGATTAAATTTATTAAATTTGACTGTGTTTATTGTTATTATTTTTCTTACAGGAAGCAAAAGAAGTGTTGACTGATGCTCAGAAAAGGTTAAACTATGATAAATGGAAGAACAGTGGTATAGCCATCAGCTACAAGCAATGGTTGGGAATGAAGGAACACGTACACCAGGTAACTGTTTTGCTCTATTTTAAGAGGAATACCAAAATAGTGTTTTGATATTTTACCGAAATATACGTTCCGAAAAATGTTTGCTGTTAGTATAATTACACCCTAAGCTAATATTAATACTATTACAAGAATTAATTTTAAACTAGACAGGCTGATGTCTTCATCAGGGCTCTTGAGGTCTCAGTATACTGAGCTCAAACACACTACTACACTTGACACTAATCAATGCATCACTAACTCTCTATCTATATAATTAGCCTTCTTCTGTATATTTGGACATAGGCCTTCCCAATCCTTTTCCATTTTTCTCTGTCTGTCGCTACAGTCATCCATCTAGAGTCTACGTGCTTCTTGATATCATCTGCCCATCTCATTCCTTCCTCTTCCTCTTCTTCGTTTATAGTCTCACGGTCTCCAAATTTTTGAATTTTGTTCCATCGGTCTTCTTTTTTTCTTATATTGTGTCAGGCGAATATCCATATCAATCTTGCAACTTCTTGTCTAACATCCCTCACATTCGTTATCTCACTTATCCACTCGTTTCTCTTTTTATCCATTAATCTTATGTGCAACATTTGTCTTTCCATTGCTCTTTGGGTTTTTATGATTTTGTTCATGTTTGCTTTTGTAAATGTCCACGTTTGGGAACCATAAGTAAAAACAGGGAGTACGCATTGATTGTATACTTTGGTCTTAAGATGCTGTGGATATCTTTTGTAGCTTAGTTTGCCAAATGCCGTCCATGCCAATCTAAGCCTCTCCTATTGTCAGATGGGTCTTTTAGGGGTAAAAATGGCGAGATGTACAAAAATATGTTTTGGTTGAAATGAATAAAGAATTTGCAATATTTGGTAATAAAATAGGCTAGGTGGCACTGGGGCCTATGTAATAGTACAAAAAAGCCTCCCTTAATGTCAGAGGTGTGAGAGTGTTCGTTAAAATGAAAAAGAAGATGGTCGTCAAAACATGATTAAAAAGCTACCAGTAGTTCATAATGTAGATATTTAGTAACAAAATATAATGAATGGAGAAATTAGACAATGTAGATACGTCGTACAGGCAACAACGCCACCTAGTCATCCAAATTTACCATCAAAGTGATTACAAATTTTTTTTCATTTCATCGAAGACCTATTATTCTACTTCTCATCATTTTCACCCCTAAAAGACCATTCTGAAAATAGGGGGGGGAGCCTTTCTTCTACACTTTTACTTCTTGTAAATACCCCTTTATCCCCATAGGCTACTTCTATTACCTCAACGCCACATATCTAATCATTCAGCTGCCCACCATCTTCGATTTGAAATTCCCATATCTTATCTACTACTACTGCTACTGGGAACGGCGAAGGATTCATTTATATAATCGAGTATGACGTGGTTTAGGTCTTTTAGCTCAATACTCCTTTGCGATGGTGCAAGTAGACACACTGAACTCTCCAGTTTAAAACCCTCAATCCCAAAACCCAAGCCCTCATCCAAAACGGTTACCACTAAAAATTACATCTATAGGTGCACCCACACAATCTCAATCCAAAGACTTTTCTTCCGTGCATCAAAGATATTGTCATTGAAAAAATCGGCAAAATTCTTAAATCAAGAGAAATAAAGACAATATTTACACCTTAACAAAAACCTCTATGTCTTGTCCGATCAATCAACACAAAGTTTATGAAATTCCTTGTGCAGACTTCTTCTTCTTTAAGTTCCATCTTCTATCGAAGGTTGGAAATCATCATGGCTATGCGGACTCTGTTGACTGCCGTTCTAAAAAGTTCTGCACTACTGCATTGAAACCATTCCCTTCAGTTCTTAAGCCACGATATTGTTCGTCTTCCCACATTTCACTTTCCTCGGATTTTTCCTTACATAATAAGTTGTAATGTGCAGACTGCCCCGATCTTATATACGTCAAACAAATCTTAGAATTCAAAATAAGATTTATGAACCTGCCAGCAACTCCGATTCACTTTCAGTTCTAGGTCAAGATCATCTTCATACAGTTCATAAAATTGATTTTGAAAACTCTAGAACCATAGAACTCTAGAATCTTCTTCTATAAACCAAGAATTGCCCGAGAAGCTATACCAATTAAAAAAGGCCAAATTGTTTCAATAAAAGAGATCACGGCATCCGGTTACTTCGACATGGAGAAATCTCAAAAAGAAAATATCGTCTGCTCCACACTCCAATCAACATTCTGCCATCAGAAATGTTCGCGCCAACCCCGTATCAATCTCCTCGCCAATCTCCATGAGAGAGGAGGGTCTGAGTTGAGTTTGAGTAAAAGATTGATGTCTGTGGATTCTAATATTGATGTGATTTTCGCGGAAACCGTATTGGAAGAGGGCTTGTTTTAAACTAGAGAGTTCAGCGGGTCTACTTGGACCATCGCAAAGGTTTATTGACCTGGAGATAAAGGTATTAATGATTGAATTAATTTGTAAAAGTGGATGATGAGATTTGATATGCAAGTAACGATTGGTAAAATAGAGTGATAAAAACCTTGAGATTGGTTTATCTTGATGATAACGTCAAGAAACGATAGGGATAAATCAGTTTACATTTCCATCGTGAACTGGATACTAGGATGTGTACCATTCAGATGGGTTTGGAAAGACGCCAAAGCATCCCTGCCATGGGGCCAAATGTCGAATGTATCGTCAACATATCGTAGCCAATATGTGGGTTTGGCATTAATGTGGATAGTGCTTGGATCTTGAAGTCTTCCATAAAGGTAGCATTTACTGGAGATAGTGGGGAGCCTATTTGGGCACCATTTATTTGTCTGTAGAAATGATTTTGGAAGACAAATTAAGTGTTGTACGTATACAATGTTTAATGAAAGATAAGTGGTGTTGCTGGTTTCGTCTATAGAAACGTTTGTAAAGAATGAAATGAGATTGAAACTTACTAGAATATTTTGCAGTAAGATATGGGTATTGTAAGAAGTTTAATAAAATAAAAAAAATAAAAATTAACAAAGAATGAAGCATTTTCGACGAGATGTTATACAGTTTTGACTAAGTACTATGCAAGTATGCAAGATTAAATCTTTTAGCAGAAGCTACTATCGCTTAGTTGAACTGACTAGCCAAATATATGGCCTAGGATGATAAATTCGTTAAACTTTCCGTGGTCGAGTTGGTATTAATAGAGTGTTATAACTTCATTTCAGGATCCCTACTTCGTCAGACACTCAGGCTGACAAACTCAAACTTGGAAAGTCCAACGAATATTTCCTAAATTTTTACCACTGCAGTGGTTAGCGTGTAGAGTTGGTTGTTACCACTTTTGATTTTGATAAGGTTCAACGAGTTTTTTTATAGATTCAAGTTTTTTAAAGATTATTGTGTATTATATTGTATAGTACAAACCTCAACTGTATAATCACTAATAACCTATTATGGTTTATGTGACACATCTCAATAAAAAATGCCCCCAAAAAGAACGGAAACGGGAATAATATTATATTGGTTGGATAATAGCAACAAATATAAATGCAGGCAGTAACAGTAATTGAATATTTATGATGTTTGTGTAATAATATAGAAGAAGAACTCGTGAAGACACGACCCTTTGATGTGGAAAAACTATTTTAATTTGAGAGAAATTGGAACGAAAACAAAAATCCCATTTTCTTTCCCCACTAGTCTAATAGCGAAACTTTAGGACGCTTTTCAAAACATTCCTTTGACTCGTATTCGTCGTCATAAGCTTCTTTGAAATACCTGATCCGTAAATAATGTTGAAAGGACTGAATTCAAAGGTAAAATGGAGGATTTTAATAGCAATGTCGAACGAGTGTCGCCTGTGTTCATTCAGACAAAGGAAGGAATGAATAAAGTAGGTATTGGTAAGACGCATTTCACCTACTTCTTTTTGCTGGTTTTTATTTGTAGAGGATTTCAAATTTGTTATTAGTTTAAACTTTTGAAAAAAATCTTTTAATTGAGTGGAACTGTGTGAACATAACTTATCTGTTTAAGCAAATGGGTGTGTTTATTATTATAATGTATTTAGCTTGAAATCGGCTTCCCTATTTTTTATCTTCGTTTGTGTAAATAAAAAATTCTCTAAATCTCTATACCTCCCAAAACTTATACAACAGAAAACTATTTCCGTTTGCCAGTTCATCCCTCATATAAGTATTGCTACAAAATACCCTCTTTTTAAATTAAATATCTGTTTGGTCTTTTGAATGTGTTCTGTTTGTTCTTGAATGTTTTTTAATTTTAATTTTTTAAATTGACATCGCAATAATTTGCTTTCTGCCTAAATACAGACCAAAATTGGATCTTGGTCATGTGTATAGTCTAACATGTGGACATGTGTATATTGGCGAAACTGGTCGTTCCGTCAAAACTCAGATCAAGAGCATCAAAGATGCACTCGATCAGGTCTTTTCTCCTTTCTGCAGTTGCAGAACACTGCCAAAAACCGGTCATTCCATATTGTTCGAAAAAACCCATATTATTTCTAAGAGCCCTTCTTTTATTCAGAAAATCCGCGAATCTCTAGAGATCCGAAAAAATCCACATAATATCATCGAGAGGAAGGATACTGCTTGTCTCCTATCTGGAATCTCAGTCTAGAGCCGCCGTCCGTCCCGCTACACGATGCAGCCACATGATTGGCCAGCGCGCGCTTCTTGACGTTCGCGCCACGGAGTGTGCCGACACGTCCGACACAACAGGTCACCGCGACTATAAATAAAGCGGTAGCGGAGTAATCGTCGGATTCACTCCCTGCCTCTCGACGCGTTAGTGTTCTGAGCTGTTGGACGTGAATCCCTGTCCTGGCATTTGGTTTTCACCTCTGGCTGCTTTAAGTAGTTGAGTTACTGTGACCAAATGCCCATCTTGGTAGTTAGTATTCGCCTCTGGTTGCGTTGAGTAACTGAGTTACCGTTGCTAACTACCCATCTTCCTGTCTTTTGATTTCTTTTTCTTTGTTCTCCTGAAGAAGCTACATACAATTGTAGCGAAACGTCGAGATGAACCCACTTTTGAGCCACTCACAAATGACACGGTCCAAACCCGGAAGACGAATAAACTATAATTCTGACTCTCGCCGTGGAAGCCTACGATTTCATTTGACTACAAAACTATTTGTATGAGCTTGAAAACTGGCTAAAACAATGGAAAATAAAAATAAATGAAAACAAGTCCACCCATCTACTTTCACTTTACGACGAGAAACACCACCACCAATATATATTAACAATGAGGAAATATCCAGGACTAAAACAACCAAATACCTAGGGCTACACCTGGACCAAATCCTGTGGTAAAAATAACACATCGCCAAAAAAAGAAAACAAATACAACTAAAACAAAAAGAAATCAATTGGTTAATTGGAAAAAAACTCCAAGCTGTCAATTAAAATTCTAATTTATAAAAGAGTTATCAAACCAATACGGACATATGGCATAGAGTTGTGGGTCTGTAGTAGTAAATCTAATATTGCTATTTATGGAAAGATGCCAATCAAAAATCTTAAGAGCAATTGTTGATGCATCCTGGTACGTAACCAACCAAAGAATCTATGAGGATCTATTTTATAGAATCTATTATCTCAACAGTGAAAGAAGTATACCAGCAAAAGAAATTACAATACATTCAAAAAGTGAACACACACTCCAATCCATTAATTTCGAGTTATCAGAAGACTAAAGCGATGTTTGCCAACAGATCAGTAACATGGACCCGTGATTCTCTCACTGGAGGGGATCACATCACGCCAGAACCAAGGGACACGACCTAAACACATCACATTAACTTATAGAATATTATTATGTTTTATTATGTTTGTTAATTTATTAGTTATAATAATAATAAAAAAAATATTTTTATCTAATTTAAAATTCTTCGTCACTGGTGTCATGAAAACTATGCTGTCGGCAATTTTTAAACGTAGTATACAAATGAATATTCTACCTTTTGTATTTTGCCTAGCTGCGGTTATTGTTGCCGTATTGAATTTTAATTAGATCAAATATCCGTATATAAATTTTCAGTGTTTACGAAGCCTTTTCTATATCGTATTGATTGACAGCCCACGTTTACATCCAGTAAAGTAAAATGCATTTTAGTTGAGGTTTAAAAATTTAATTTAGTTAAAGATACTTTTTTATCTTGGTCTGTCTCTCTGTCTTTGATTTTTTCCAACTGTATTCGTACAATCTACTAAAAATAAATTATTCGTAAATGCAATATTTAATTATAAATTAGTAAAATTGAAAGAAAATCTCCAGTAATGGACATGGATATATGTACTTATATATGATAGGGCTCTGTTTTGAGGTGGATGTGAGAGATGGCATTCGGATTTTTGCAGAAATAGTAATATTAATTGAAGGGGTCAGAAGCAAAACCGCCTAAGTAGCAAAATACACATTTTGAGAAATAAAGCATCAAAGTTTTTGCTCTTTTAAAAATTCTGGATGTTCAAAATTAAAAATTTTAAAGCATTAAACAATTCAAAATAAGTATAAAATTTTAAAGATACTTCTAGCGAGAAAATATTTTAGTTTTTTTTACCTCTTTCGACAAAAAAATGCACTTAGGTTGTTTTACCTTTAAGCAAAAATGGATTTATAATACACAAAAAGAACTAAACAATAGCTTAATTTTCAATTAATATTTATTTTTTCTTAAAAAAAAAAATACAAATTTTACTTCTTTATAACACCAGAGCTACTCATAATCTGAGAAAAAAACCTATGTAGTCGTCTTGTTCGACGTTGGCATCTTCTTTGGAAGACTTAACTGCAGTGCTTCCTTTTTTCATTGTGTTTTTTTGCTGCTTTGACTCCTGCGGCAAATCATTATAAAATTGATGGTAAATGGGGGTATGAACTCTAGCAGCTGTTATAAATTTTGCCATTTTTGATACTTAAATTGTCTCGTACTTCTTTTTTCGTCTTCAGTTGATGATGATATCAAGTTTACCAACTGATCGCATTTATAACAAGAGTTGAATGAGAATTATTATCTTTGTAAAAACCATACATTTTGCGAATGTTTAAATCGGACGAAATTTATTTCGTATTTGGATTTTGATTGTAAGAGTAATGACTCCTATTACGTAGTAATGATCTGATATATTCAATCACTATTTTTCTTGCGTTCTCTGATACTTTGTTGGTTGGGACATATTTTCTTCTTTTATCAGGCTCCACAAAATTGTTTTTGTTAACTTTTTTACACATAACCTTCAAGCGACTGTCTCTGATATCAAAAGTTTTTAGGAAAAAGTCTGCATACACGGCGGTCAAGAAGTTTAATTTCTGTATTGTAATTTTTTTGCTATTAGCCAGTTTTTTTTTAGGTTCAGTTTTTCTGATATCTGACGCTAAAAAAGCTGTTTGCAGGTTGGTAAACTGTCCAACTTAGAGAAGAGTCGTTTACTTTCAATGTCGTTAAATATTCCACATTGGTACCTACACGTATGCATATGCTACTGCACACATTTCTTTCTCTTCAATTTTTCTCTGCTTTCATATTCTTGGCCAGCAAGCCCCTTATTTGTGATTTTATTCCTCTTCCATGCTTGTATGTATGTTACGCTTCCTTTTTCGGTAAATTTTAGGAATTACTGAAAAGGAAAAATATGTTAAACCCTTAAGTTGAACTTAACTTCAAAATTTCTAAAAGTACATAACTGTAAGGTAGGTACTAAATTTACCGGTATTTACAAGTTTAATATTTACATAATAAATTAATTTTTGTTATGGATATTACGCTTAAATTAAAACTAACAAGCTAAAACACACACTTTTACTACTCAAATAATATACTCCACATGAGTGCTTATAGTTGCTTCCTCGGCAGATATTATAGAATTATCGCTTTCGTTATCTTCTTCATATTCACTCGGAATAAAATCAGATTCTCCATCTGTAGCGTATGGATCACTATCTGACTCTAAAAATAATATCAAAACTCAAAAAACATGATCCAAATATTATAATGACAAAATATATCATTTCTGCAAACAATAGTATCACTTGAAACACTGCTGTTAATCTACTAAAGAAGTATAACCTACACGCCATAAACAAATCCAAACCGTTGAGTGAAACCCAATTAACCCAAACAACATAAGTAATAAAAATATATTTATATCCAGCCGCTTCTTTGGAGGTAAAACAGCCTAGGTGCGCTAAGGCGATTTCTGCTCTTAACGATTGGTGAATTTTATTTTGGTTGTTTTTTCTATTCATCAAAAGATGGCGATAAAGTAGGGTTAGAGCGTAGTCGATTTTACTACCAAACAATATAAGATATTCAGAACGTGAAACATCACTAAATTCGTTTTGGTGAAAATTTTACTTAGGCGGTTTTACTTCTAACCCCTTCAATTAACTTATTCTCGTTCCCAAATAGGTCGGGAACATTGATAAAAAAATTAAATTATTAAAAAATTACTAAAAACGTCGATTTTTGTTCTCTCCTTGCCTATAACTTTAAAATAATTCATTTTGGAGCAAAGTCATACCGAAATAAAAAACCGGCAATTAAATTTTCTTTAAGATACGGCTGGCTAGTACTGTTTTAACTTATTACCACTGCTGAAAAACATTTAACTTTTGAGCATGCTGCGTTCGCACTGCAACACTGAGATGCCTCTTTTTCCGAGAATAATACCTTGTAACGGATGGATTGTGTTTTTTGTAAAAATTGTACAATTTCATTCTGTTAATCTAACATAAATTCACAAAATTCCATGCGCTTAAAGATATCTTCCGGATACAGTTCTTGTGTTGGTTGTATCTTAAAACAGTGATACCCATACCTTTTGAGAACTCGCTGGAGAGTTCGAGCATTCACGTTAACTTCCTTAGCAATTTGTACACTATTGCAGGGTTCATTAGCTTCCACAAATATTAATATCCCTATTTTGATGTTCCTTATCGACAGTTCTAACACGTGGTTCATTACCTTCATGATATTTTTAACAACTGTTTACACATCCCGAAGTTTAAAAATGTTTAATGGTATTTTTAACTGTTGTTACACTTGGTGGGGATTTATTTTCGAAGGCAACAATAAATAAATCAATTACTTCGTGTATCGAATGACTCTTAAAGTACCATGTTACAAGTGACACTTTTTCTTGGACGGTATACAACGTAATAGACATTTTATTAATTATTTGTTTATTCTTTCAGAACTTCGTTTAAAATTTTTAATGTCAATGTGAAATGAATATAGAGGTGGAAACTTGTAACATCTTGGAGCATTAGGTTATTATGTTGTATAGTAAATAAAACAATGTCGTGATCTGTTTAATTATAATACATAATTATAATATATAATATTAATTTTCAATTATATTTTTAATTATTTTTAGTCCATGCATTGGAGCAACTTAAAAACCAAAGATCGCATGCTGGAATCCGGCGGCAATTCTGGCCCATCTAGCCTAGGAGCCGTGGGTACTTCACCGGCTCATCGCAGAGCTTCTGAGGGTGGTGCAAATCTACATTGGGGCGGCCGCGGAGGCGGCTCCGCTTGGGGAGCGGACCCGCCCAGCGAGGTCGTCAACAAATTTCGAAACTATGAGATTTAAACGGTGGCTCTCGACATTCCTTAGTTCATGTTTTGAAATGAAATGTCACAAATTGAAGTAATAGTAACAGATTCAGCAATTTATAGTACAAGAAAAAATCGTTTAAGTTCCAATTTGATGGCTTCAAATTGTGGCAACAATTGTGATAGTTTCTTTGTTTTTAAAAATTGTTTAATTGTTAAAGTTTGATTTTTCAACAGTGAATAGAAACATTTTTATTTTGTATGATAAGTGCTCCGAAAAATGATTAACCTTATATTTTTCTGAGGACTTTTTGATTACTTGTCGTAGGATATATAGACAGTATTTTTAGTAAATTATTATGTAATATTTGCAATTTAATCTGAAGATACACGATGTCTCAACGTTGATGATTGAGGGCAAATACAGTCAAATTATTTTTTATTTAGGCCACAGTAATAAATCTTTTAAATACCTGTAGAAACAAAATTCCAAGAAATTGAGATTTATCTCCATCTATTTCTGTCCATTGTCATGGTGTTTCATTGACAAAATTTATCCGGACACACTAGTTCGCTGTGAAGACCATATACTAGTTCGTTCCCATGTTTAAGCATTAGTAATGTGTATCCGGCATAAGCAATCCCCCACTTACTGACCAACAGCTTCGGGTGGAAAAGTCGGTAAGTGAAAGAGCACCTTCTTGTCCTAGAAATGGAAAATCATTTCTAAAGGCGGACGAACCAGACATGATTAACGGCGTGGAGATGCATAAGGCAACGGGAAACCAATGCATTAAAGGCTCATAGAGCATCCCTAGTTAATCATCATGACTAACAATACAACCAAACACTCTACTGATCATAAAACTCGGAAAACAAGATCCGGCAGAGGAGGAAACTCACAAGACTGCAAGGCCTACCCGGTCGTCAACATGCGAAAACCTTGCAAAGTAGCGACTTGGAATGTTAGAAGTCTACATCAAGCTGGAAAAGTACATAATGCCGTTAAAGAAATGGAAAGGCTGAATATAGATATTTTAGGAATCAGCGAGATTAAACATGTCCGATGGCCAGACTCAGGAAAGATAAAAATCAACAATAAAACAATATATTATTCAGGAAGACAAGACACAGATATGGTATCGGGATAATATCAAACAAAAATATTGATAAGGCTGTAATAAATCTTACTTCCTTCCTCCAACAGAATTATACTTTTACAATTAAACCGGAACAAATACCCAAAATAAATATCCTACAAGTTTATGCTCCAACTGCAGACAACCCAGAGAGCGATACTGAAAATTTCTACGGAGGCCTAGACAACATTTTAAAATCCATTAAAATGGAAGATGTAACAATTATAACGGGAGACATTAACGCAAAGGTTGGGGAAGCAAAAGTAGAAGAATGTACAGAAGGATATATTCTGGGCAACAGAAACGAAAGGGGTGACAGGCTTATCGAATTTTGCCAAAACAATAATTTTGTTATAGCTAATACATTGTTCAAAATGCCAAAAAGAAGACTATATACCTGAAAGTCACCAGCAGATCAAGAAAAGAGAATTGTAAGAAACCAAATAGACTATGTATTAGTTAGACAAAGATACAGGAACGCAATTATATCAGCAAAAACCTATCCAAGTGCCGACATAGGATCAGATCATAATCCAGTAGTGACCAAAATTAGGCTTAAAATGAAAATAATAAAACGAAGAACAACACATGCAAAAATCGATACAAGTAAATTAAGGGACCCACTCATAAGGCAACGCCTGGCAGATGAAATCAACAACGGATTAATGAATGTTAAAGAACAAATTCTGCAAAATACTGACGCGAAGAAAAAATGGTTATTAATAAAGACAGAAATAGATAAAAGTCAAAAAGAAATTGTAATACTAACCAGATATAAAAAGAAGCAATGGATGATGAAAGAAATTTTAGATTTAATGGAAGAAAGACGTCAATATAAGAACAAAGATAATCAGATGTACAAAATCATCATTTTGTATCACATTTTGTTTCACATCCATACAAAAGTACAGAGCACATGTAACATCTTGTAAACTTTTCACGGATTTTCAAATTTAATGAGTTATTGGATAATAGAGGCTTGAATTTTTGAAATAAGTTTCTTGCCTGTTCAATTCTACATCGAATATCGAAGGATGGATCTAGATTTTGGGTAATCCAACATCCAAGGTATTTGAATCTCTGAACTCTCTGCAGCGGTTGTTGGTTTAATATAAGTTGGGTTGCGCTGATATCCACTTTACTGGTCACCATGTATTTCGTTTTATCGATATTTATCGACAGTCCCCAATTTGTGCATTCCATGTCAACTCTCCTGCAGATCGTCGATGTTTTCAGCTAGAATCACATTATCGTCGGCGTACCGTATATTGTTAATTATTTCTCCTCCTATGATAATTACTTTTTGATCTTTTAAAGCTTCCCTAAATAGATTCTCAGAATACACGTTAAACAGAGTGGGAGATAGTATACAGCCTTGTCTTACGCCTCGTTCAATACTGATTGGCTTTGATTATCTGTTGTTGGTATTAATAATGGTTGTTTGGTTCCAGTAAAGTTTGGCAATAAGTTTGATGTTTTTCTCATCTAGTTGGATGCTCTGCAAGGCGTCGAAGCAAGAAAACATAAATAAGTTACAGTCCTTTGAAATGTGGTGTTACAGGAGGATCTTAGAAGAGCATAGACACAAAAGAAAACTATCGCCTATTGTAATTTGAGCGTTTAGGTTGGTGTTCTTACTAATGATCATTATTTTTGTCTTATTGAAACTTAGTTTTACGCCGTATTTGTTACATGCTTCTATAACGTTATCCATCAATCTTTCAAGCCCCTGCGCACACTCTGCCAGCAACTCTGTATCATCTGCATATCTAATATTGTTAGAGTTATATTGTTGATTGAGTTATATTGTTGATATAGTTTATAAGTTAGCAATTTACATTGGCTGTACGCTCAAGTGATGAACTATTTTCCGCCTACATCTCAGGAGGGAAGTCTGCTTCTTCAGAAATAAAGTTGTTACATAGTCTTGTTGTATGGCTTGGTGTTGTGCTGGTAATATCTCAATAAAGTCTAAAGTAAAACACTCACCTACGTCTAATAGATCTAGGAAAAGTAAGTCAAATATATATCTAAGGTATTGCCCAACCTCATTGTCCTTTGAATAATCAGTAGCAAGTCTAATTTTTTGTATTTTTTTCCACCATGATTGTTCGAGATGCAATCTATAGGTAATGGATTTTGGGAACAGCTATGACGTTGAAAATGCCACAAAGAATATAACTAAATATCTCTTTTCTTACTCATACTCTTTACAGTCTTTTACGATATTTTAGAATCGAAGATATGTAATTATATTATTAATGTATTAGATTTTGACAAAAGCTATGCATTATGCCTATTTAGTACACAAGTTTATGTGAAATGTTCAAGGTCATAGCTGTTCCCAAAATCCATTACCTATACATCCTTTAATTTTTGCAATTGGAAACACTTCACTTACAGCTGCATGGATCGCTTTTTCGAAATCGGTTTTCACAAGCGTTGGTTTAATTTTTTACACTCCGTCCCTAAACAATTTAAGGCAGTCAGATCTTGTCTAGATATATCTGTATATCTAGGTCATGTTATCAAACTAGAAAAACCAAATTAAGATGCTGAAATTAAAAGAAGAACACAACTGGCATGGGCCGCTTTCGGCAAACTAGCACATATCTTGAAAAATACCTTCATTCCTATAAACTTAAAGAAAAAGGTGTATAACACATGCATACTACCATTTTGTACCTATGGCTTGGAGACAGTAGCCCTTACCAAAAAATCTGCTAAAAAATTAGAAACAACGCAAAGAGCAATGGAACGAGTCACGCTTGGAATATCACTAAGAGACAAGATTAGAAACATCGAGATAAGACGTAGAACGAAGATTATAAATATTGTGGAAGAAATTACAAAAATGAAATGGCGCTGGGCAGGTCAGGTAGCCCGATATGACAACAGGTGGACACGGAGAATTCTAGAATGGAGACCAAGGACGACAACAAGAAGCATGGCAAGACAATTAAAAAACAAGCATGACAATTACAAAACATGATAATTACATGAATTACATGACAATAATTACATGACAATTACAATTACATGACAATTACAAAAATGAAATGGCGCTGGGCAGGTCAGGTAGCCCGATAAAATGACAACAGGTGGACACGGAGAATTCTAGAATGGAGACCAAGGACGACAACAAGAAGCATGGGAAGACCTCAAAAAAGATGGGTAAATGACATAAAAACACTGGCAGGCAAACAGTGGATTAGATTAGCATAAGATAGAGAAAGATGGAAGCAATTGGGAGAGACCTACATTCAGGAGTGGATGGAAAATCGTTGACAAAGAAGAAGAAGAAGAGATTTTGTCTAAACAATGAATTACCGTAGCGAATTTACCTGTGACTCTTTGCTGTGAGGTATTAAAACCTGACCATTGGAGCGAACTAGTGTATGCTTAATTTACCTTGTAGACCATCAAGCCACTTTCAAAATGCCCACAAAATCAATCAAATTTTTGAGACATTTTGTATTTATCATTTTTTATGTGATATTTATTATTATTTTTATTGAGCTCACTGGAATAAAAATACTACAATTATGATCAAATCTGTTTAGACATCTTTTAGATATTCTATTTTTCAACCTACTTATTTGACTACATTCCTTTGTCTTAATGTTTTTTGTTAATTGTTCTATCAATATGTAGTGGAAAGCAACTATTCAGACCTAAATGTATAAACCAAACTATTTTTAAATAATATAAACCAAAGGTCAAAACTAAATTATGATGAAATACTCTGATTAATTTTGGGTTTGAGTAACAATCAAAAATTTGTATTCTGTGATTGGACATAAATGTATAAATATTTACACAGAAATAATTAGAATAAAAGCAATACTAAACAGAAAGTTTTGGTTTTTATATTTCGTTTAAAAAGTCGAAGTAAAGTTGAGTGTATAAACATAACATAAATAACACAAGAAAGAAGTTAGAATTTAGCAATATAAGCATCCAAATATACAGGGTGAGTGGGGAGGAACGCACCAAACTTTAAGACTGTATAATATACGTAAAAATAAGTAAAAATAACTCATATGTTGTTATTCGATTTTCATTTGTTTTCGAGTTATAGCGATAATAACACAAAGTTGTAACTTAACATTAATTTAATGTTAAATGTTCTTATAATAAATTTTCAAAAATACCACCATTGACCTGTAAGCATTTTCTGCTTCGTCTATGAACATTCAACGTTGCTCTTCTGATGGTGCGTCATGGTTTGCTCTAATTGTGGCTGCAACATTTTTAATGCGTCGAATTAGTGCATCGCGAGTGTCGACTTTTACCTTGTAAACTTCATTTTTAAACCAGCCCCATAAAAAATAGTCTAATGGTGTTAGGTCTGGAGACCTCGGAGGCCAACTAATAGGACCATTGCGACCAATCCAACGCCTTGGAAATTTTGTATTTAAATGTTGCCTGACCTGACGAGCAAAATGTGCAGGAGCTCCATCGTGCTGATAATACATTTGCATTCTGATATTTAGTGGAATGTTCTGTAGGAGTCCTGGCAATTCATTCTGTAAAAATTCAAGTACTCCTCTCCTGTAAGGCGGTTCTCAAATATGAAAGGGCCAATTAAATAACCGTCGATCACACCACACCACACGTTTACCGAAAATTTGTGCTGAAAACTAGCTTCAATTGTTGCATGTGGATTTTCATCTGACCATACATGTGAGTTGCGGCTATTATTAATACCGTCTCTGGTGAATGTTGCTTCATCGGTAAAAAGTATGCGGGATATAACACGACGATTATTATTTATCCATCGACAAAATTGCATACGGCTGGCATAATCTTCTGGTTGTAGGTGCTGTACACGTTGTAGGTGGTATGGATATAAACCTTGCTCGTGAAGTGTGTTAATTACTCTCGTTTGAGGAATGGCTAAATGAGTACCGATTCTTCGTGAGCTGATCCCTGGATCATCTTCTACTGAATCCAGAATATTTTGTATTTCTTGTAAACTTTGTCGGGGAGCACGTTCCGATATTATTTTATAACTAGGAAGCGTTCCGGTCTCGCATAGTTTGTTGAAAACTCTAATAAATACATTTTTATCTGGAGTTCTCCGATTTGGAAACCGTTGACGATATTCTTCAACAGCAGCTCTACCGTTTCCATTACAAAAGCCATAAACAAACACCATATTTGCATAATCACTATTTGAATAAGTATGTGGCATTTTGCAACAACTTTTTTTATA